CTTTATCAAAGATTTCGGATAAAAATAGGTGCTTTATATAGGTCTTACCTTTGTACAAAGGTTCCTCATCGATTTCTGGCAGATTTGGTTCGCAGGCAAAGGCGGCGGGAAGTTCATGAAGATTGCCATTGGAATTCAGTTTGGAATTATTAGATGATTGCTGCAAAGGTAATAAAACAATTTTAAAAGGTATAACCATAAGGGAAAAAGCTACTTACATTTCCTGCCTCCGAGTTTCCTTCGGCGTCATCAGCTTCGTCCTCGCTGCTCAGCAGCACCACCGGATCAACTTCGGCCACTCGCCTGCCTCCTCTAGCCCTTCCTCCCCTCATGGCCAGGGATCCTCGACCCCGTCCTCCAACTCCTGAGGATGAATAGGACATTCCAATTTGTTTGCATAACCTAGCTGCTGCCAGTTCTCGTTTCTTCTCCGCCGCCGATACAGCTGCAGTCACGGGTTCGCTGGAGGACGAAGAAGCCGGTGATGATGAAGCACTGGGCTTGGGCATGTAGGATTTGCGTTTTGGAGGCTCCGGGAAGACGCGTTTGCAACGCTCGCAGCGGGCATGATCCATTCCAGTGAAGCCACACAGCTGGCAGACGGCCAAAAACCCATCGATCAATTTCCTGCCCTCCGAGGGAGAAGATGCGGAGGATCCAGCAGATGATACAGCCCCCACCGATGTATTTCCACTTGCCGAACTGGCTGCTTCGCGTTTCGCCTGCTCTGCTGCGGCATTTGCTTGGGCGTAGGCAGGCGAAGGACTCGAGGTGGCAGGACTAGAATTAGCTGCTGCTCCGGTTACTGGTGCTTGATTATCCTGCGGACGCGTCATCTGAAGACTCTCCTCCGCCCGTGAAATCAATTCGCTGGTTGATTCTTGCACCGTAAAGCCTACGGTGACCACAAAGTCCACATTGGCACCGCGATGCTCGACACACTGGATGGGGGTGGTATGGTCGAATGGCACGCCGACCTGCTCGAGAAGATCCTGCACCGTGCAGGATTCACGTGGCAAAGTAAAGGTTATCAAACGCTGCTCGCCGCTTGCCAGGATCACCAGCATCTTGGCACTGTTCTTATCGCGGTCTGCTATTTCCTGGCCAGCTCGGTTATTCAGTACATGCTGCGAGTGGATCTCGTAGTTGTTGTGCGAGGTCTTCATCACGGATGATCCCTGGGTAGCCGATGCTGGCGCTGGAAGTGGTGCCACCACTGCGGGCGGTACCGCCCTTTGAGGCTGCATGATTCTGGTGCCAGGGGTCAAAGCTCCAGCCGGTGGTTGTGTGGGCGTTATTTTGGCGGTCGGACGAACCAGGGTTGCAGGAGTAGTGGCTCGTATGGGTGCAAGGCCCGGATTTGGTGCCGAAACAGGCGCTGGCGAGGCCGACAAGGTTTGCCTCTTCTTGTACTCCGCCAGGGTCATGCTGGCTCCACTGGCCGGACGTATTCCTTGTGCCTGACTCTGCGCCACCTGCTGCTGTTGCTGTTGCTGCTCCTCTTCTTGCGAAGCAGCTCCTCCCGGATAGTAAGTGGTTAGAGTGGTGCCCGTTCCTATTTGCATGGACTGCAGTTGATTGGGGGCCACTGCTTGTGTTGGTGGCGGAGGCTTCTGTTGCTCCTTCTTCAGCACTGCCGCCTGAATCCGCTCCTCCAAATCCATGCCTATATTACTCGATTGAACCACTCCGCCTGCGGGATTTGCGGCAGGAGCAGGTGCCGGAACTGGTGCCGAAACAGCTGAGGTCAACGTTACAGGGGCTCTATAACGAATCGGAGAATGCCGCACCATCAGCATATGCTGGTGAGGCTGTTGCGGTTGCGGCTGTTGGGGATTCCCGTCGGTAACCATGTGGGTGCGATAGATGTGACGCGGCTGCTGCTGTTGCAACTGTTGTTGTTGTGCCTGCTGTTGCGGTTGGCCGAGATTCGTGCTGATGGTGATGTGTTTCATCTGGCCGGGAGTTACTATTTGCATAGTCTGACCCTCACTGCCGCTGGTTTGCACCATCAATGGAGCCCGAGTGGGTCGCACGCCCGTAGGACGCATGTTCCTAACCAGTCCGCCGGGCACTGAGCCCACAGCTCCTCCTCGCGGGCGAACTTGCCGTACGATTGTGGGCGTGAGCGTGGGCCTGGTGGTAATAAGAGTTCCTGCCCTGCCCAAAACAGCTCCTCCTCGGGGAGATTTCCTGAACGAGGCTCTGACAAGTTGGGTTCCTCCTGATGCAGTGGTGGTCACTAGTTGCGGTTGCTGTTGAGCCACCAACTGTGGTTGTTGCTGCTGTTGTGCCTGCTGCTGTTGTTGCGGCTGTGGAACTTTTTGGACTTGCAGTTGCTGGTAAACAACGTTTTGTGTTTGCTGCGGCACAACACGCGCCTGAACCAAGTGAGCTGTTTGGCCTGTGGCCTGCAGTTGCATCTGCTGTTGTTGTTGGACTTGTTGCTGCTGCACTTGCTGCTGTACGTGTTGCTGGATGACGTGCTGTTGCTGCTGTTGTGGAGAAGTGGCATAAACGACGCGATTGTTGTATGGATGAATTGCCGTCTGGCGCATAATCAGCTCCTGATGCTGTTGGGCCTGGATTAACACAGGCTGTTGCTGCACAATCACGTGCGTATTGTTGAGCATCTAAATGTTAGAAAAAATATAATTAATTGTAAAAATGATCGGTAAAATCAAGGCCACATAGATCCCCAACTTACCCCTATAGGTCTTTGTGGCTGCTGGGTGGTGGTCATGCGGTAGACAATCTGCTGGTGCTGCTGCGGTTGCTGCTGGGCCGGCGAAGTCTGCAACTGCAGCGTCTGTGGCTGCTGCGCTTGCTGGTGCTGCTGCTGGGGACTTTGCAGCAATTGGGCTTGCCCTTGGGGAGAAGCTTGCACTTGGTAGGCGGGTGCATGTTGCTGATACTGCTGTTGTTGCTGCTGTTGTTGTTGCTGCTGCATCACCTGCTGCTGCTTCTTTTGCTGTTGCATATGCTGAACAATGGCATTAGGTTGCAAAACTTGCTCAGAAGTGTAATAAATTTGCTGCGTGTGCTGGATGGCAGGTTGCTGCTGCTGGTGCTGCACATATTGCTGCTGTTGCTGTTGCTCCAGGTGCAATTGTTGCTGTTGCTGCTGTGCATCCTGTTGCTGGTAGTGAACCTGCTGCACTTGATGTTGCTGATGGTGCATTACAACTTGCTGTTGTTGCTGCTGCTGTTGTTGTTGCTGCTGCTGTTGTTGCTGCTGGTGTTGCTGTTGTTGCTGCTGCTGCTGGGCGAGATCATCGCCTCCGATTATGTGGTATGTGGGTGCAGCCGACTGCTGGGGCTGTTGATATTGAGCAGGAGCTGCCGTTTGGTAGACAACTTGCTGCTGGTCGTTAAACACCAACTGCTGGTCGTCTTGCAGAACCAAGGACTGAAAGAAATAATGATTTAGTAGGGAATTTACCAAGAATTTTAGATACTACTCACCCCCACCTCATCTTGAGGCACTTGCACTACCTGCAAATCCGAGTAGACAGGCTCCTCTAGGGGCACTATATATTGCTCCATTTTCAAGGACCTAAGAAGGGTAAAAATTAAACTAACTGTTAATTAACTTATCCAGAGTTGGGCCACTTAAAACATATTTAAAACAGGTTAAAGTCTCATTATTAAACAGCCTTTTAACAAATTCCTTAGCATACTACATTTATATAAAAGTTATAGCAATTACCAAGTGAAATGATTATTATTTTAAAACACATTAAATTTACTATTAAAGGGATTATTTTCGCGTTTCAGTTTGTTAAAGATCTTATTATTATAAGGGTCAATTCACTAAACAGATGCAAAGCCAACTTTTGACACGTATTTATGCCATTTAAACACATTTAATGAACAATTTTAACGCCATTGCTGGCGTCTCATTTTTGAGACATTTACACACATACAAAAACACAATCAGGGAGCTAGTAACTTAGAGGTTTCTAAACAGAAAATGGAAATATACAAAGTTCAATGAACAAGGATGAAGAATGCACATGTTTCTTGCCAATTTCTCTGCGTATTTGAACTTTTTTAAGCAAATTTATTATACAATTACTGGGCATTTCTTGTGCCTCGTTTTTGGCCATTCCCACACACACACACCTCCTTCGACTTTCCAAAAACGGCAACTTCTTAGCGTCGCTCGCTGTGCTCGCACCCCGAAACACTTATTCCTCGATTAAAGCATATTCGCGCTGGCTTTTCACAATTATCACACGTTAATTACTCGCGTTTTTGCTTGAAAATTCAGGCTTTCTTTCGTGCAATAAAAATGGCGTTCACAATGCAGGGCAGCATTCGGTGAATTTTTCAATCTGGCAATGCTCGCACAAGAGCGCCACCTGGCGGCCGCGAGGCTGTTTACAAACATTTTGCAGTGTTGCTTTGGCCGCTGGTTTATCGATGTCTTCCCTGTGGCATCGTCTTCGCCTAATGTTTAGAGGTCCCTCTGTTTGGCATGTAGCTTGTTCGAGGGGACCTCTAAACGGTCGGGCCACTGGAGTTGGCTTAAAATCTTCGTTTTTTCGCACTAAGCGCGGGTTATTGCTGTTTGATCTTTTTGTGGGCACCATGGTGGAGTTATTCAGCGAAAGTCGAGTGATAACGATTTTTTTTGTAGTTGATAACGCGGTTTTAGGCACTCTGTGTTTTGTTGTTTGCAGCGCGCTCTGACAAATTGGGTGAAGAAGAAGAAGAGAGACAACAACAACAGCAGAAGGAAGAGATGAGAGAACGGCGATAGGCGTGAGGCGATAGCCCTGAAAATTATGGGTGGAAGAAAATATTTATTTTTGCTAAAATAATATAATTATGGATTCATTCAATAAATTGATATATCTTAAAAAATGTAACATCGGAATCTACGTACTTAAAGATGCAGATTGCAAAATAGTTGCTTAAACTGCTTGTTTAAAAAAATGTAAAACAAAATTATATGTTTTTTATTGTTTATTAAAGAATAAAAGCAAAAAAAATAGAAATCGAAGAAGAAAACTTTAATTTAATATCTTAATTATTACAGTTTCTGTTTACGCCAGTTAAAAATGTAAACATAAACTATATTTCATAATTTTATTAATTCTTATCGACTGTAAAATACAATAAGACAAACAAATTTTCAAGCCACCTATCGTTTAGTTCCTACGAAAGTTTTTTTTGCTGAGTAGCTCATCACTAATTACGCAGATTTTATTTTCACAACAATGTCCAAAATATTCACGCCTACAAATCAAATTCGCCTTACAAATGTCGCAATTGTGAGGCTAAAAAAGGGAGGCAAGCGTTTCGAAATAGCCTGTTATAAAAATAAGGTCCTTTCTTGGAGGAGCAACAGGTAAAATCCACGATTTCCGGCACGTGCTCTATTTTGATCTATTATAATTCAACCTCATTTTTACAAAGCGAAAAGGATATCGATGAAGTGCTGCAGACCCACACAGTGTTCACCAATGTCTCCAAAGGACAGGCGGCAAAAAAGGACGAGCTGCAGAAGGCCTTTAATAAAACAGATGAAACAGAGATTTGCAAGGAGATTCTGAGCAAGGGAGAACTCCAAGTGTCGGAAAAGGAGCGCCAAAGTTGCCTGGACACCCAGCTAAACAGTATAGTTAACTCGGTGGCTGCTCTATGTGTAAATCCGGAGACCCGTCGTCCATACTCCGCTTCAATTATCGAGAAATCCCTGAAGGATGCCCACTTCTCGGTAAAGATGAACAGGAATACCAAGCAGAACACACTGGAGGCCATCAAGATGCTCAGAGAGCACCTGCCCATCGAAAGATCCCGTATGAAGTTGCGGGTTAGCTTTGCAGGAAAAGAGGGAGGTGGCAAGCTCAAGGAATCGGTGGTCAAGTTGGCCAACACCGTGGAGCACGAGGAATGGGACGAGGCCACTTTGCACCTCACTTTGCTCATAGATCCTGGCCAGTACCGCGTCATAGATGAACTGGTCAGGAACGAAACAAAGGGCAAAGGACTGTTGGAGCTTCTCGAGCTCAAGGAAGTCGTCGAGAGCGAGGAACTCTTCTAGAAAAAGGTTCTCCTTGGCTAGTACCGCGTCATAGATGAACTGGTCAGGAAGGAAACAAATGGCAAAGGACTATTGGAGCTTCTCGAGCTCAAGGAAGTCGTCAAGAGCGAGGAACTCTTCTATAAAAAGGCTCTCCTTAAACATCATCGTTTTCATTGTACATTTGTTAATATTTATGTAAAACTTAAATGAGAATATGTGAAAATTATAAGGACTATTATTTCTGAAAAAGAGGTTTTTTTTATTGCTTCGTGAATTGTGGTATGAACTGTTTTTGTATGTAAAACAGAAAATGTTGAGGATCTTTGATCCAAATCTCTATCCAATTCTCTATGACCATGTATTCTGCATTTAAGATAAACATTTGTATACAAAAATCATATCTGGGACAATCTTACATTTATTTAATTATATGCTGGCATAATACGAGAATGGAGTAGGATGTCATTGCCGCTTTAAGTTGATCGTATTTCTTTTTGCGAGTTTATAAATGAATCATCGAGATTACAGAAGAAGCAATAGATAGCTTTTATAAATTTTTAACATAAAATGTGATGAATTGGGATTTCAGATTAAGCTCACAAATATCTTCATGGGCTTTAATTTGAATCAGATACTAGCTATTTATTTTACATATACGGGTCCAAGTGATTGTTAGTAATGAAAAGTTGTGGGAAAAATACGTTTGAAGGATAGGACAACAAGTTTAACTGTCAAGCTTTTTAATAGGATTAATAATTAAAAAGGATCTGAAGTTCTTTTTGTGATTATGTATATAAAGAAGGACAGAGATTATAACAAATATACTGTAAAATTAAGAATGGGTCTGCAGGCCAGCTCTACTTTCGTTTCTTGAGGTTTTCAAAGCGGCGTGAGAGATCGTCGAAATCAATCTCTTCCTCGTCGTTTTTCTTTTCAGCACCCGGGATATCCGGTAGATCGTTGGGCACGTTGGGCAGCGAGGGGAAATCCAACGGCGGAGGAGCACTTGGCAGAGTGGGATTACCCGGCGGCAGCTTAGATCGGGGTTGAGGTTTGGGTTTGTTGGCATTCTGTGAAAAGAAAAGAGTGAAAACAATTAATATCGGAGTTTTTAAAAGTCCTATGCCACACAATTGAATAAACCTTCTTTATCTGATACCGCTCAAAAAGTATGATTCCAATAAAGTGTTTTTCTGATTTGCCTAACATAATTTTTCATAATATAATGAGTCATTTCTTATATTAGAACTTATCAGAAAAGAAAGGTTTGATTACAGGTTTTATAAGAAATAAGAAAATAATAACCTGGAGATTTACAGGATTAATAGAGGTGTAACGCGGAGGCGGATCATTTTCAGGTTTGGGGCGCTGTCAAGCAAAATTAAAGAAAATAAGGCAAATAATAATAAAAAAAACACTGGAATAACAAATCAAAAGGCATAACAATCAAATGATAACAGGTGGGCAGACAGTGGGCAGCAAACTATGAATCATTTGGATGACTGGACTTACACGCACAGTAGGCACAGACGGGAAAAATACGTCACACAGATATAGCGTTGGGGGAAGAACCCATGGAAGCGTTTTTCATTTGTTTAGTGATGTTTCAGAACGATAAGCGAGTTAGTTGTTTGATTAACAGCATTTTACACAAAGTAAACCTACCAAAATATTCTCATCCGGGCTGCCCGAGCCATCCGTATTGTTCGATTCACTCTGCAACAGCCCAAAAATCATGCAAAACATGCGAAAGCTTAACAATAAACTATTTTCCAAAGGGGGTCTTTACTGTAGCTGCAGTTGCGATTAGAATATCAACAACGAAAAAACCCAAAAGCAAGCCAATTTGTTAGTTCTTTAATTTAAAATAATAAAATATCTCAAAATTAATTGATGAAACAAAGAAACAATAAAAATTAAAATTGGAAATTTTGACAAATAAATTAAGAACAAAATAAATTTTTCTAACTTATATCCCAAATTTTTTTTTTTTTATTTAGCTAAATATAAAAAAATTTTAAATTCTTCGTTCCAATAAAAGATATTTTCATCTTGAATATATGTAAATTAAAAACAAAATCGTTTCATAAAAAATTCGGATCGAGAAAAACTACTTAAAAACTAGTCTAATTGCAACTGCATTTGCTAAAACATGATTTTTGCCTCTGGCATAATATAAAAAATCATATAAATATATTTACATTGATGAAGTTGGTGTTCAGATCTTTCTCCTCAGCGCATTTAGCAGGTAAGACCGCAGGTGGTGCCGGCTGATTGGGCGGTATGTTGTAAGCAAATGGAGGAGGTGGCTGAAACGGCTGTGGTGCAGCACATGCTCCGGCTCCACCGCCTCCTCCTCCGCCACCAAAGGGTGGGTAGTTGAAAGGCTTGGTGCTTGGCGGTACCGGCATATCGGGCAGTTGTGGCATAGCCGGATAACCAATGAAGCCCATTTGCGGAGGAGGAGCACCACCACCGCCTCCACTCAAGTTGTTCCGATCGGATAGGTCAATAAGATGCGGCTGCTGTGGCTGCTCCTCCTGCATGACTTGTGGATCCGGTTCGTACTCGATGTTGTAGTTCTTAGCTATGGCAATGAGGTACTTTTCCACCAGAAGCTTGGGCGGCGCCTGCAATGTGAGCTTGTGCATCAATTTCTCCGATACATAATGCTCCCCTGTGGCCGTTCTCGATTGCTCGGCGAATTGCGGACCGTATTTGGTCACAAAAATATCCGATATGATCTTTAGCTCCGCTATATCGCTCTGCAGACGTGGACACACCCACACTAAACTGGCTACAGGCTCGGCGATCCCGGTGTCCAGTTCCTTCATCTGGGTGATAAGGCCAAATCTTGCGAGCAACAGGTCACAGTACATCTCCACCATTTCCATGGCCTCCACCAGGTAGTCCTCCCTTTAAGCATAGCTGATATATTAAGCGGTTCGCATACATGTTATATTCGAGCACCCACCTTATAATATGCTCCACACGAATCCGAGCCCTCTCCGTTTTTCCCGTGGCCAAGTAGTCGGCTATCTCCTTCCTTGACTTTTGAGTCAGCTCCGCCTTCTTTTTCTCCAGCAATTTCAGGCGATTCAGAGCCAATCGAAGATTGGTTTTCAGTTTGTTGTAGTTGGGGCCGCTGGAAAACATCTCTCAACTTCGCCCTAGGCAGCAGATTTACTAATGAAAACAAGAAATTTTGCGACGGTGATTCATTAACTATAGAAAAACAAATTAATGTGACGTCACAAGCTATGTGACCGTACGGCGATTGCGTGAAAACACAAACTTTCCGCAGAACGGCCACACGAAATAGGCAAACTGAAATAAATTTAAATCATTTCATTTTTAAAATTTTTTTATATATTTTTTTTTTCCTCTGCAATTATTTTTGATGGATAGCCGGCTGCTGATTGGCTCCCAGTCAGGGGTTTTGACCGATGATATATGGTACAATGTACTTTATATATCATCCCCTTTTTTATCCACTATATCAAAAAAAAAGAAAGTAAGATAAAATATACTTCGAGATATGGTAATTTTTAAAATTTCGGTTTTCCTTTTATAAGAATCGGACAACTATAGAATATTAAATTTTCAATTTCAAATTTGTCATTTTAACGTAATAAATTTTTGACCCATTTCCTTTATAGTTATTTCGAAGTTTCTGATTTCGTGACATTACCCTTAAGACTAGAATTTTGGTTTTCCAATAATATGCATTCAAATTTGTCATTTAAACGTTTATTAATTTTTTTGATCCATTTTCATGTAAGTTATTATACATTTGAAGAGGATCAAAAGTTTGCAACGCAGTGAAGGGCACATTTCCGACCCTAAAATATATATTTCTTTGCTTCCTTCTTCTTTTTTTAATAGGGCTAATGCCATTTAAGAGTGTATGATTAAAGCCAAAAGAGTAAAAAGGCTGGCTTTAAATTCGGTTGGTTTTGTTGAGCTTTATTCGTTGAATTTTCGGTAACACAAAAACCTTTAACAATTATTCAGTTTACAATTTGCCATTCGATGCCATTTCGCCACCGCCGCTGTGCAATTGTGTTTGGCGCTCGATCGCGGATCCTGCGATAAGTCGAGTCCTTCGCCAGACACAATTACAAAGTTGCAGCCATCCTCGAGTTCATAGCGGTACATTCGCAGGTGTATGTGTGTGTGTGGGGTATTTGTGTGCGGGATAAGGAATCGCCATTTTGAAGGACTCGAAATATTAACTAAACTCAAACGAAATCATTTAGAGATGAGGGGGCGGTGGCGGCGGAGTGGGGCACTCCTCCTCCTCGGTTTCGCAGGGACACGCCTCCATCTCATCGATGGCGCAGCCCTCCTCCTCGCAGACACCCGCATCCGGGGCGGATGGTTCCGACTCAGGCTCCCTGTAGCCGGCATACACCTCCGCCCGCTGCTTGATGATCTCCTGGATGATGGCCGTCAGGATTTCGCGCGAGTCCACAATGTGGCCGACCTCCTCGGCCACCTCGGCGGACAGCCACGGGCAGATGCTCTTCATCAGCTGCTCCTTCTTCACGGCATCACTGGCCGGCTCAATGTTCTCGAGGACCTCCGGCACCAAGCTGGCGATGTGTCCCTGGAGCAACTTGGCCGCCGTCACGCTCTTCTGCATCTCAGCATCCAGCTCCTTGGCAATCTCGTCCTGGCGCAGCCTGCGCTGCTTCTCGGCTTGCAGGCGCATCTCCTCCGCTTCCAGGCGACGCAGCTCCGCCAGCTCAGCCTCCCGTTGGGCCAGGAATCTGTTGGTAATCATTTAAAAGCATTTATTGTGAGTTTATGGATGATTATCTTAATAATAACATATCATTGACTATATATTTGCTTTTGAAAGTAACATTTTATCAAATCTAGAAGTTGTTGTATAATACCATTTCTAACAAGAGACAAATAAAATTCAATATGAAATGAAGATAGAAGATATATCATTTGAAAAGAAATATTAGGACATTTAAAATCAAGCTCCATTTTACAGTTGCAATTTTATAATATTACGAGAATAAGGGTACTTGTTAAATTTTGAATATAAATATCGAATATAAATATCATAAAGATTCTCAGTATCTGATTATCAATCCCAATAAGAATTTATAAATAATTAAAAATTTTTTAAGACATAGGATAAAAGAAAATTAGTTACAATTAAAGCGCTGAATCTCGAATTTAAAAATATCTGATCCCTTAAAAAGAACAAATTTTAAAAGGTTTTAAAGCCCTTTAACGATAGGGTAAATTTCGGAGCTTTATGATTGGGGGAAATTAATTGTTTTAAATTTTAGAGCACAATAATTCCAAAAAAGAGAAATCTATATCATTTCCCAATTTCTGGACCACTTACTCTTCCTGCTTGCGGCGCAGACTGGCCAGTTCCATCTCGTGGGCCACCTCCAGCATGCTCTGTTCGATGCAGGCGTCCACCAGGACATCGATGATCGGCTGGGCCTCGGCATCGAAGTGGAAGAGTTCGCCGTCGCCGATCTCGGTGCCCACGTCCACGCCCACCTTGGCCGGGACAAATGGAGGCGTTGGCGGCTTCTCCAGGAACAGGTCTGTCTGTGTGTCGATGGAGAACTCCGGCGGGCGCTGCACCAGCTTCTCTAGGTACTTCTCCGTCTGAATGGTCTCGTGTTTCCGGCCCTTGACTGGCGGCGGAGTTCCCAGGACGTTACGTTGATTGCGGCACTGGATCGTCCGTTTGCGCAACATATTGCGGCGCCTCAATTCGGCGGCCTTGTCGAAGGGATCCACATCCGTCTGGAGCGGAAAGCAAAGTGGATTAGTTGCGGGTCAGGGCTGGCAGAGAACTGAGCCAGAGAAACTCACCACCATGGAGGAGTTGCCGAAGTTGCTGCCCTTTATGACGCGACGGTCGTACATGACGTTCTTGTAAGGCTCCGGCGGCGGGACGATGGGTCTGCAAAAGGAGCAAGTGGAAAGCAAGGAGGCGATGGAAGGCGAGAGCCATCAATTAGTAAACCTCGACCCAGTTCAACAAACTCCACATGCAGAAAAATAACTGCATCCTTTTGAAAAGGTTCTTAAATGTAGACTAATAATAAAATGTAAGTGTTTAAAAATAACAATATACAATAATTATGTGTAGTAGCCTTTAAATCAACAAATTATATATCAAATATATTATTATAATTTTTAATATCTGTGATAAATAAACCTAACATCTTAAGGCACCTTAAAACTATACTAAATTTAATATTAAGTGAGTTATATCGCTAATGTGATAAGGAGAAATTAGCCATTAAGTTTAGATTATTCAAACAAATACTTATAAAGATTGGATTTGGAAATGGATTTATCAAGTTATTGTTAAGTAATATTTTCCAGTTTCGTTTCTGATTTACACCCTTCCTGTTCAGTACGCCTTTGTGCTTTTCCCAGACCCAAATCTGTTGCACTATCAAGGCGATAAACATCACATTTGTGCATTTCTCAACGCCCTCGCAGGCCGCTTGTCAAGTCATCTCCGATTCGAATCAATTTCCCCAAAGTTCAGTACACTTTTGGGTCAGATGGTGGGGCACCGATTTAAAGCTTTAAGGTTACGCGAGTCCAGTCCGATGTTGCTGGTAATTTATGACTTGCTAATTTATATGTATGGCCCGGCGGCAAGAAATCGGGGAAACAAACATTTTTTACCGCATTTGCACATACGCGAGGTATATAACATTGTCAGACATTGCACTACGAGAACTTGGCACCTGAACTCGTGACCTATGCAAATTTTCAGCTACTTTTGGCCCACAAACAGGAAGTCACATTGAAGTTGCTGGCGAATGTCTAACAACGTTTCTCTGGGTCTGGGTCTGAAGACCAAAGCAATCAGCTAATGGAACGAGGAACGAGGTCCGGCTTCCTTATGCCTATTACTTGGGATATACATACCCTGCACAAAAGAGATAATGTATGTGATTTTGAAATGGGTTTGTTGATTTTTCGAAAACAAAGAAAACTCGATTTTTAAAAAGCTTCGTTTTAGGCTGTAATATAGAACATAAATGTTTTAAAAAGTGTATAGATACATCGTTTTTAAAAAGTTTTGACGCTATTTTTGAACTTGCATTTTGAAAATATAGATTTGATATTTTAAAAACATACATATAAAATTCGTAGTTTCGGACAGAATATACAAAATTACAATAATTAGAAAAAAATGTTTTGAAAACTGTTGTTGTTGTGTAAATGTTTTCGATCAAATTATGGACTTCCACCTTTGGTATTATTTTCTGCGTATTATATCGCACAGGTTAGAATCATATTTTTAAGAATATCGATTTGCAGAGTTGCAAGATTATGAATAGTATTAAAATTCAAATAATTTATCTCACAATATAACAAAGTAATATTTCCCAAGCCAGCTAATATAGAGCCAATAGTAGATAAATTATATTTGACCTGAAACTATCAAATTGATTTAAACCTTTTGTATTTAACTGTGTGTATTATCCTTAATAAAGGATGGGAAAACGGTTTGCATTCAGTCTTCTCTTTTAAGCCCTTCTCATTTCAACAATGAAAGATATCTCATAATATTCTCTGACCAAAAAAAAAGGCCATTTACCAGAATAACATCCATTTAGGGGAGCCACCCGCCAGGACCCGTTTGGTTTTTGTTATTCCATAGGTGTCCTTTTGGCTCCTTTGGTGTGGTAATTGAACTTAATTTCCCTCCATTTGTGGCACAGTTTTTTCGCTGTTTTCCCCATTGTTGTTGTTTACGAAATCTTGATTTAAATTATTAAAGCCCCGAGTTGGGAATATAGGATATTCTCCGCTGGCACGACACATTCGAGGGTCATTTGTCCTTTTGCTCGCATGTTCTTTTATGCAAGTCAAACGAGTTTCCCATTCGAAAATGCGCTAAATAAATTAATCAAACCGTTCAGGGAATTTACAATGTTCAAATTCTATTGGGAAAGCATTTCCAATTGAATTGGTAAACAGTCAATACTAAGTTAGAAGTGGTGGTATATTTACACAATATGGGAAAACTTGGCTTGGGAAGAACCTTCTATTCTATTTGCCTGCATTTTGTGTCCTTCTTTTTTGATTGTTTAAAAATGCTAAAGGATATTTAGGAATGCAGTGTAGAGCTTGAAACAAGGTAGAGAATTTTTTAGCTAACTTTAAGAGTAGTACATTCAAAACACTAAAAATGATAATGCCCCCCGAAAATTTGGAATTAGTGTTTTGTTTTCTGGTAAAGTTTACTTCTGGGTACACTTTTTTAAAGGCTTCGCTTCGATAAGCTTTAAAGATTATTGTGGCACACTTGATTGTACCAACGTCGATTTCAAAATAGTATGCGTACATATGGTCGTATAAAAATCCAACTGAATATTACCACTTTGCAGTCGAAACATATTTATAATTGAAATGTTCAGGTGTCAATCGATAAAGGTAGTAAGCCATATTGTTGCGGCCAAAAGGGGAGTTTAGTTCTGGTTCCATTTCCATTCCAGCCGGGCAGTATATTCCTCATTTGAATTTATGGTAATATATTTTGGCCCACTTTGCCTTGGTCAGTTGGTTGGACCTTCCCACCTCTTTTACTTGGCCCCAAACCCAAACCATTTTAGGGGTTGGCCTTTTTATTACCTCTTGTCGCTGTTGTTGCCGCGTCGCTGCTGCAATTGCTGTTGGAACTGCGCCTTGGTGATGTGCAGACCGCCGGCGAGGGATTGCGGATCGTGGGAGGATTTGGAGGCCGCAGCTGTGGCCGCGGCCACCGCCGCCGTGGCACGCACTCCATTCAGCCGGGTGGCGGTCACCTTCTGCTCCTTCTGCTCCTTGGGCTCGCCCGCGGGCTCCTTGGTGTAGTAGCCCTGCAGGATCATGGGATACGAGGAGTAGGCGTAGACATGCCGCCGCAGCATGGTGGCCGGTATCATCTGGACCTCATGCGGCGGTGGCAGGAATATGCCCTGCGGCACTGTGGTCTCGAATCGGGGTCTCTGGGCCATGGCCGGGTCCATCCAGGCGCCGGAACTGGCGCTCTGGCGACCACCGTAGTTGTTCTCCTCCGGCGCCAGGAACCGCAGCTTCTGGCTCAGCTCATCGGCGAAGCTGCGCACCTCCTGAGTGCTGCGCGAAAAGAAGGATCTCGGGGGCGGATGCCCGGCGGGCTCTACATGCTGATCCTGGCGATCCGACGGGTTGGCTTCCTCACGTCTGATGGGACGCACGATGGCCTGTTGAGGTCGCGTTGGATAAGAATCGAGCTCCTGCTCCTCCGAGGGCTGATGACGCAGCACCGAGAATGCGTTGGTCACCACGTGCTGGAAATTGTAGGGACTCTGATACCGCTGAACGTTGAAGCCGGATGAGTTGTAGTTATAGTTATAGTTGTAGTTGGAGTTCGAGTTCGAGTTAGAAGTTGAGGAGTTGCGGCCTGGTGCGTAGGGATAGCTGCTGGCGAAGGAGAAGTTCTGCACGCGATCCTGTCGATAGGCGGGGATGTGCTCTGAGTCTGGATCTGGTGGCGGTTCTGGATGTGAGAGTGCTGGGTGCTGCTGCTGCTCCGTCTCTGGCATGGTCTTCCTCGTTATTCCTCCGCGGTTATCCCTGCTCCCGGCCACCGGTCACTTCGTTCATTATAAATAGCCACCACACGGGGTTCTCTCGCCCAGCGCACCGAAAAAGTTAATCAATAATTTTCCTATATTTTTTGTGGTTCGCTGCCCGGTGAGGTGTTGCTTCGTTTGGTTTTGGCTTTCTCCGCGGAACACACTACCGCACGGTTCGAATGGCAAACGCCAAATGACCAAAGGACTCGCAGGACTCGCGCTCGGACCCCGCTTCGACTTTTATTCGCCCCGTGGTCAGCAGTCGGTTGTGCAGTCGGAAAAATATTAGAAATTAGTTCTAGGAAATTGTCCTCCTCATTGTCCTTGATTTTATTCGGTTAGCATTTCTCTAAAGAAAGCTATTCATAACAATGCTTAAGAAACAATGCCTTAACACACCCTTCTTATGGTCGGATTTTTCTTGAAAATAATAATTTATATACGATTTTATATTAGATCCGTAAACCTATTAAGCCCCGAGCTGAAGGCTCTTAGTTTAATACTAATTGTTAGCTGTAGATAAATAAAGAAATAAAAATAAATATACGATTTTATTCAAAACAGCTTAAGAATAATATTTTTAATATGTTTAGTTTTATTTGGCTATACAAGAAACTTTAATGTAATGGTTATATAATATTAATAGATATATATTTTTTTATTTTTTTATTAATAAATTTAAAATAATGTGAAAATAATTCTACCTTAGCTTTTAATAGAAATCAGGAATTAATTGAATGAAGTGAAATATATTGGTCGTATATAGAAAATCAAATTCATAGATTGCTTTCCGATATCAGAGCGAATTTACCCCAATATTTCTCAGTGTTCCTCGAGGTTCGAGTCCTAGTTTGGGGCACCTGACGGGCAGGTGTTGCAATAATAATGCGAACTGTTAACAGTCGGTGGTGTTGGCATGGCCAAATCCAAGTTCCCAGGAATTCTACTTTGCATAAGAGCTTTTTTTCCACGCAGGTCGTTGGGTCTCCAATTAAAGGTCTTGCCCGGCGGAGGACCTTGAATTTCGTTCGATAGTGTCCACATTTCCTGTCACATGTTGGAGATGACTTCACGCATTTCGCTGGTGACATTGAAATCGGAGGTGGGTGGTTCTGTTACTTGGAACTCCTCCCGGCTAATGTCAATGGCCAAGGTCGATTGCTTGGCCTGCCTGATAAGCGGAATTCAGCGACAAAGTGAGCATAATTAAGTGGATTTCTTGGCACTCGAAGGAGGTGCTCATGGAGAGGTCAAAATAAGGAAAGGTCAGAGCGCAGATCGGAGATTATTGTTACTAGGTTTGATAAGGAAATACATCAGAAGCTCAAAAGGTCTACTATATGATTGAGAAACAAGGGTTTGGGGTTATTATTCCGATGTTTTTTGAGATGATTGGAACCAAAAAACACTAATTACCCGAAATTAGATGGTTGTGAAATGTCTTTCTTAGGTGAAGTAAGACCTAGCAATAATGTTTTAATAAATGGGTAATTTAGATTTATTTCCTTTGAGGGTCTACCACTTTAAAGCAATACTTTCTTAAAATACAACCTTAAGACTATTGATTGAACGGATTCTCTATTAATTCTATTTAAGTATTTCCCTAATTATAAGTATCGAGTTCAGGAGGATGAGAGTTTGGCCATAACTTGATATCGATACATTAAAGTTTACTGTGTTCTTATCACATTTTCGGATCATCCTTAATTCCTGTTTGACCTTAATCCGACCCAAGTCCAGCCCCCGTCATTATCTTTAGTCCGATATATATATGTATATTTTTTATGATAGTGCGTCAGTTTCTAGTTTTAAGCACTCAACAACTTGCACACTCCTCATAATTTCCCCGCCAATCACCCTTGCCACCTATTCATCCTTTGTTTCCTTTCGGGACACGAAGGTTTCCATTCAAAATGGTAGCCGGTTTGCGTGTCCTTAGTTGGGCTTTTGTATTGACCATCACCCGAACACGGCCAGCGTTTAATAATTTATTTACGCAATTTATGACTTTCGTTTTTGGTCTCGGATTCCATTGACCCCAAAGGGGAGACATATAGGAAATCCCTTCCCCAAGGCGCTGAAAAAGTCATTACTTTTGCAACTTTGAGATTCCCATCATCAAAATTGTGTTTACTTTACATATTATTTAATCGCTTATAAAGATGGCAAATGCTAGTTTAAGAAAGTTCTGATATTTCTGAACATTCGGTGGAAATAGCATTTCTGTGATCTTTAAGATTCACATACGTTTATTATTTTTGTTAGTTTTTCAATTTCAGATTTTGAAAAATACTCCACAATTATCTATTTGATAATAGATATTAAAATCAATACCTTATTCTTTTTTATATAGTTTATAATGTGAATAATACAAATCTATATAAATATAATTTTTAAAAGAACCTTCCAAAAAAATGTTTTGCCATTTAAAGAATTTTGCTTTTAGTTCTTAAAACTATTGACTTAACCATTGAATTAGGACTAAAATATACCCCAATTTGTTCTACCATAATGACAGGGTACCTAAAGAAAATTCCTTGGGTGTTTACTGTTTGCTACTCACTTGGGGCAACCTTTGATTTTGATTGGCTTGGGATGGCTGGCCCACCAGAATGCCTGTTTGCAGGGCGGCGCGGGGCAAGGATTCTCGTGCCACTTAAGCTGCATCTCGGTGACTTCGGTGCCTTTGATTCCGGAAGTGAGGAAATCCATGCCGGAGCTTTTCCGCCCGCCATTGGGCTTGTAGTCCCGTTTGGGGATCGTCGGCATTGTTAACTTTTCCTTTGATACGTTTTCGGGTTTTAAAAAATTATTTTATTTATGGGGTGAAAGTCAACCGATTGCCGAATTTACGTGTAAAAAAGTGATTCTATAAACTGTGACATTTTCACAGTGTTCTTTGTTATCCGCACGTTATAAATTTTGGTTTTTTAATTTATTCACTTAAATATTATTTTCGGTTTTGGTTGTGTTTAACTGACATTGGCTAGAATTTGTATCCAAAATAAACAACAACGGCGGAATTTCCGCAGTTGCCATGGAAATTCAATGTCGGCATTGTTAAACTGTTGCTGTGTTGGGATGGGATTTTGCATGTAACAGGATGAAGTTGGTTTCCGTTGCAAAGCGTGGCATTCGTATGAACACTCGATAAATGTTGAGCGTTTTTCAAATAAAATTGATCGAAAAATGTTTCTTTTTTAAATACAAAAAATTGATTGCTTGGCGCTTCTGTCAATGAATTTCCGCAAAAAAGAAGAAAAAAGAAAATACATAAAATAATATTATTTTGCAGTACCTTATATATATATATTATTAGTCGGAACATCGATGACCGCGAACATCCTTTCTTTTCCATCTCTATTTTCTCTCAAGCGTCTGGCAAATACTGAAAACAGTCGATAGGCTGCCAAAAAAAATTGGGGCTATATTACCCGCACCGCAACCTTTAATTTTCATCACCAAAACATCACGCGATTAATCGGCAAAACCAACAAATAGTGAGAATTAACATGCATGTCCTAGGAATTAATCAAAAAACATCACTCTTAATCAGTAATCATCACTCTTTTCAGTTTTCATCACTCTTTAATCAGTAATTCATCACTCTTGAACAGCGTTTACTGAGAACACGATGAACGAGTGATAAAACGAAAATAGATAACAAAATACTGATTAAAGGAAATTCATCACATTTCACAGTAATTCATCACTCTTTAATCAGTAATCATCGCTTTCATCTCATTCATCGCTCTTCATCGCTTTTCATCGCATTTCATCGCTTTTCATCGCTTTTTCATCAGTAAAATCATTCAGTAAATTTCATATAAATTTCATTTTTATTTTATTACAATATTTCATTATTATTTCATTTATTTCATTACATATAACTAATTAATTTAACTTAATTCAATCTACATATGACGTTTCAGTTGTCCCGGAGGTGTTGAGGATGTTTCGGTTTCCGTGCCCTTTTTAGACTTCGTGCTTAGTACTGGCTCTTCCTGACCAAGTATACTGAAAAGAAAAATTACTAAAAAATAAAAACTACCGTTTGTTTTGCCGCCGGCCAAGTCCAGCTTAGTTTATCTGGCCCAACAGTTTATTATAAGCTTCGCCTAAATAATGAATAAATATATAACAGTATATGTAGGTACAGTTCAAAATAATTAATAAAATAACACTTACCTAAATTTCGATAAATTTAGTTATAAAATTTCACAAAAATCCAGCTCGATCTGTTTTCCCGTTCTCTCAAAGCAAGTGCACGTAAAAACCGCGAAAACAACTCAGTTGTTGTTCTTCCGTTGCCTAATGTCTTACATGTTTCGCTTCGCGTCAAAGCAGGGTATATAAAAGCAGTCCGACTATAAAAATAATACAAACTAAATTCACTTAAAAAGGAATCAATACCTTCAAAACTATCATAATAATTTTATTTTAAAAAGTGTTTCCATAAAATAATATAATTAATAAGAATCAACGACTACAATACAAAAATTATGCTAATTGATTTTCAAGGGTGTATAAAGGTCGATCTGATTTTAATACATTGTCCTCCACCTCTCAGCTCATTTTATGGGGAGAGAGACAATTAAGAGAGGGAGATAAATTTTCTCACGGGGACTGAGAGTTTCGGCCGCCGCGTCGCACCCGGCTCTGCCGACTTGCCTTGGCTCGCCGGCGTCGCAGTCCGCTGCTGATAAACAGTGATGAATTTTAGTGATGAATTTCGGAACTGCAGGGTAATTTCAGTCCCTTATTTATTAGTATGTGTATTAACTATATGGATGTAGCAAATCAATTTTGGCTGTCTTGATTTTAAGTAAAATAAGGCTTTAAAGCTATTACTTGAACCGAAATTGAGAAATCTCAACGAAAATAAATTGATTCCCTTATCGATACTAATAATGTATCATCGATAATTATAAATTATCGTCAACACCATTGGAGGCTCTTCTGTCACAATCTACTAATAAATGTATCATCGATAATTATAAATTATTGTCATCACCAATGAAGGCTCTTCTGTCATAATCTCTTCTGTCATAATTTCTTCTATCAAAAGTTACCCAAAGTACGAAAATGAGTCTTTTATTAGAAACCGACCAAATTCATTTCGAGTTTTCGTTGGGGTCAGGGGAGATTTTGGGCTCTGAAGCCGTGAAGTTGCTGACTTTGTGCAAGGAAATCGCCTATCTAAAGCCACCTGTAAGTTAAAATGATTCCGTGATGAATAAAATTCTTAAAGATAGCTTTTTCTCCGAAAACAAGCAGCAAATTGAGGAGCAAGATGGAGGAGATGACCACAACGGCGAGAACTCCTTGGCGGAGGCCGATGACCATGGCAGTGATGAGGAGATGAAGGTGACCAGATCTGGAATTACCTGGTGGACCAAACCAAACAGTGCGACATCTCCGAATCCCATTTATAGTACTAAGAAAGCAATGAAAAAGAAGAAACACGTGTTCTCAAAGAGATATGGAAAGGTAAGCAAGGGTAACCATTTTTTTATGTTTCAATTTTTAATACAATCCTATTTATTTTAAAAATAGGTCTTAAAGGCACAGGCGGCTAAGTCAAAGGAGGTCAACGACGAAATATAGGTGTAGCGAGCTATTGAATTAGAAGTCGGGTTCAATGTACTGGAAACATATATACATATAGCCAGCGGTATCTACCGCTTTAGTACTTCCAAAGTGCACCTGCCTATATAAATCTCATTAACCGATATGTTATTAACGTCAATATATGGAGAATAAAGATATTGCATTTAAGTACCATGTTTGATTATGACTGATTTGTTACGCTAAATCTATTTTTGGGAATAGTTAGCGTCCTTTGCATTACAATATCTTATCCACATTTGTTTATTAATTAATTACTTAAATATTTATTTAATCTCGCTCTCAAATTGACAGAATTGTCTCTTATTTTTACAAATTTTGGTTGCCTTGCGCGGTGTTTTCCCATCCGAATTTCCGCTTATTTATTTCTCACTCAACTTCTCTATATATTATTCACTACTGACTGTCTTTTAGTATGAGTAATCTATTTTTATTTCTCCCAATCAAACTTAATGAACCACAAATTACTCGAAGGAGCTTTTCCAGCTTTAAGCTAGACGTGTGAAGTAATGACTTCATTTTTCTTTTGCTTTTATTTTCTTTTTGATTATTTTGCTTTAGAAAGGTGCTAAATTTAGGATCTAAATCAACGTAAATTATATAACCACTTAAAGCCATTTAATAAATATAAACAGTAAGACTTGTGGAGTACTAAATTTCGAGCAGTCTTTATTTTAATAAATTAATATTTCTCAATATTGAATCTATAAATAAATGCAATCCTACGTTTTACTTTTTCAAATATCAACTGCCATGTTTTGCGAACAGTAAGGGTACCCAAGGCGATGTTTTTCAAACGGTGTGGTAACTTTATTCTTAATTGGCGATGTTTCTTAAGTTATACGGCAACCTTAATTTTGATTGGGCAGCCGTGGCGATGTTTTTTAAACCATGTGGCAACATTATTTTTCGCAAGCAGTTAAGCAGTGCAAAATAACAAGCAGTTATATATATTGGTTTTTTAATTTATTCACTTAAATATTATTTCGGTTTTGGTTGTGTTTAGCTGACATTGGCTAGAATTTGTATCCAAAATAAACAACAACGACGGAACGGAAACCTAATAAATTTTCGCAAAAAAGAAAAAAAAAGAAAATTTACATAAAATAATATTATTTTGCAGTACCTTATATATATATATTATTATCCGGAAAATCGAACACATCGATCTGGAAAATACTAAGCCTAATTAAAAAATAGTCGACAGACTACAAAAAATAATTAGGGCTATTTTAGTCCTTTATTTAGTCCTTTATTTATTAGTATGTGTATTAACTATTAAAATGTAGCAAATCTATTTTGGCTGTCTTGATTTTATGTAAAATAAGGCTTTAAAGCTATTATGTTGAACGAAAATAAATTAATTCCCCTATCGATACTGATAAGTGTATCATCGATAATTATAAATTATCGACATGACCATTGGAGGCTCTTCTGTCACAATCCACTGATAAATGTATCATCGATAATTATTAATTATCGTCATCACCATTGAGGCTCTTCTGTCATAATTTCTTCTATCAAAAGTTACCCAAAGTACGAAAATGAGTCTTTTATTAGAAACCGACCATATTCATTTCGAGTTTTCGTTGGGGTCGGGGCAGATTTTGGCCTCTGAAGCCGTGAAGTTGCTGACTTTGTGCAAGGAAATCGCCTATCTAAAGCCACCTGTAAGTTACCATGATTCCTTGATGAATAAAATTCTTAAAGATAGCTTTTTCTCAGAAAACTTCCCATCATCGCTATGAAAACAAGCTGCAAATTGAGGAGCAAGATGGAGAAGATGACCACAACGGCGAGTACTCCTTGGCGGAGGCCGATGACCATGGCCCTGATGAGGTGATGAAGGTGACCACACCTGCAACCGCTGGCGGACCACCAGAAATTGCTGGAGGAGAGCTAACTAAGTCCAAGTCCAATGCACTGATCATCGAAGTAATCGATTCGCCAGCCGAACGCTTCAGTGCATCATCTCCGAATTATGTTTGATGTTTGAATAATTTGATCCGCAATTACCAAACTTATCCTGCAATCCATCTAAATTGAGGATTACCCTATTAAAATCCCCTTAATTCCTTGGAATAAGGCAATCTGACTTTTAATTTCTTGTGCAATTTATCACGGCAGAAGTTAAATCTTTTGCCGTCAGTTAAATCGTTTTGACATAGGCCCGCCTGAATCGAATTTCCCTGGAACGTGTCATTTAATTAGGTTTTCCGAGGCATATCCATATCTTGGACTCATAGCATGGTTGTCATTTGTATTTATCGCCCCCTTTTTTGTTAGAATTACATTGAATCCTTTGTCCTGTTTTGCCTATTCATTAACAAACAATTCGGAATACAATGACGTGGCTGTCAACGATGACGATTCGCTTTATGCGGGGGTGATAATTGTGCCCGCGCCCCTTGAAATCCCGGACTGCCTAATAAGATCACAGGGGCAATGGGACATTCAGTCAACAGTCGATAAGTGGACATGACACTCGGAATGGTTGAGGGTTAATGATGGCCACACAGAAGACCACTGGCGACTGACTGGGATCTTGTCCAGCAATTTCCCGATCATTTGCACAGATACGAGGTACGAGATACGAGTGCCCGGATTCTGCGAAGTCCCCCGGAAAAGTGTCCCACTGAGTGTGTTGGCCTGTTGTCAAACAAATCATTTACGCATCCCCGCACCTCCCGAACTCCTGCGTAGGTGTGAGCTGCAGTTTCCCAGGAAAGAGTGCGTCCAGTTCGAAATTTGATTAATTTATTACCCGCTGCCAAAGGGAAAGTGATCTTCGAGTACCTAACGGTAGGGTATCTTAAAAAACGTTCGGTAGACAATTGTTTAATTATCTGCGGGCACTTTTTATGAGTTATTTATGTGCGGCAGTGGCGCCAACAGAAAAATAAAATCATTATGGGTAACACAGTGTAATTACAGTGTAAAACGGATTCAAAACAAAAATGTGTGTGGTTTGGCTACATTTTAATTATGAGAGACATATTAATATATGCATTATATATATGTTTTATATATCAATTAAATTAATTAATCAATATTAAAGCTAAAAATGTTTAGAACTCAAAATTCTTTAAATATTTAAAAATAAATATATAAATATAAATAAATAAAAATAAATAAATACCTTTTACAATCGAATGAATTTTTCGGATATTCAATGTATTGTTGATTTATTTTAAACGTATTTCATTTTAACAAGGCTTAAAAATTATTGGTGCCAAAACTGGCTTTAAAACAATGAAATATGCAAATAAATCAAATACGGAATACTAATTTTTGAATTTGGTTTTATTATTTTTCATAAACAAAAACAAAATGTTGTTTCAATAATTGTTATTTTTAAATCCAAATGTATTTGAACTATTTTAGTTGTGGCAATCCATGATGATTAATTGCCAGCCGAATTTGCAGGAGTTCAATAAATGTGATGAGGTAATTTGGCAACAAAACGGACTCAAATTGCCAGATTATATATTTACAATGAAGCTACGTTCTGGCCCTCTCCAAACTTTAGCCAATAAACAAACTCACCCAAATTAAAATAAATATAACCATTTTTCTCCTAATGACAAGCCCCATATATAAGAAATGCAAAACACGCAAACATATTTGTGGCTTTTTGGGGGTACAAGTTTGCATGACTGAAATATTTCCAAGTATTATTGATTGCCGACATTCGGAGCATAAATGGCTCTTTAACTTCTTCGTTCGCCTGACAAATGTGCAAGGTAAGTGAAAATGTCGTTTTAGTCGGTTAGTCAGACATTAGACATTGCCGCCCCTCCCATTTCGCCACTCGATTGACTTTTGTGCGTCTAATTTGCATTGGGTCGGGACTTGATAACAGTCAAATCCGTTTGCCGATCGCTTCCAAACTACACGGCGGAATATTTTAAAAATCGAGCGTTGTGTGTGCGAGCTTTTTGTTACTTTACACACACACACACTGGGGGAAATAGAAAATGAAATAAAAATAAAAACGCGATCGTCTGATCGTCAACAACAATGAGAATGAACAATATAAATGGTCGCATCGGAATTGCTAATTTGCTTTTCAGTGGGCTCGGGGTTTTGGCTTGGGTTTGCCTTTGGGTTTCTGTTTCTGTTTTTGTTTTTATTTATCTTTATTTTTTACCGAGTGCCGAGGGCCACCGTTGGGTTCCTGGTACGCCTGACCCTCCCTTTTGGACCCCAGTGGACCCCGATTGATTTTTGTGCGACATTTTTGACATGCGGATGTGCCATGTTAACGAGAAGACAACTGTTCCCCTTTTTCGCCTCGAGTACAGCTGCATTTGGGGTTCGGTTCGCATTCTCGGCCCGCAACAAATCCTTTTGCACATTTACAATAAATTGAATTTGACCAATGCTGTTGCGGTCGAGGATTCCCCCTCACCCCTCGGGTTCTGGCCAAGGCAAGTGAAATGCTTGAAAACCGCAGGAAATTCGTCGAATTTGCCATGCGGTAAACTGCCGAGTTGCAGGCAGCAACTGCAAGGATTTCAGGAGCTGCCCGAGTCCTTTGTGTGCGTTGGCGTATGCATAATTGATGCGAATGTTTGCGGCAGTACTCGGGCCCTGGAATCCGAAACCAAAAACCATTCCTCATAATTGAGTCGCCCTCTCGAACTCGGAAATAGTTTCTTCCACCCAAAAAAAGCCAAAGAAAGAATGGCCAAACTTCATTTGCTGCAGCTGAGATTTTTTTCGTCTGCCAGTTGGAAAATGAAATGCAGTTGGAAAAGCCGCAATTTTTCAATTACATACTGAAAAGTTGCTCTGCCAGGCTGTGGGTGTGAATCCCCATGGGGAAGTAAATATGCAGATGACTGGAGTCTGTAATCTGTGAAATCCTAACAATGTAAAATATTTATAGAAGGGCTATTTAATTGTCTTGTAGTGCAATAAATAATATAGAGATCAGTAAAAACAAGAAATGAAAGCTAACTTCGGGCGGAGCCGAAGTTGATATACCCTTGCAGAATACTCTGTAAATTATATTCTCCAAAATTATTCATATGATGCATTCTTAATACTCATCAAAAATCCCAACTTCCTAACTTTAAAAACACCAAAGTTATGGCATTTCCAATCGTTCAGTTATATGGCAGCTATAGGATATAGTCGGCCAATCCTTATGAAATTTGATAGGTCGGATTGATTGGCCAAAAATAAAGCCCATAGAAAATCCCAACTTCCTAACTTAACAAACACCAAAGTTATGACATTTCCGATTAATCAGTTATATGGCAGCTAAAGGATATAGTCGGCCGATCCTTATGAAATTTGGTAGGTCGGATTGATTGACCAAATATAAAACCCATAGAAATCCCAGCTTCCTAACTTTACAAACACCAAAGTTATGTTATTTCCGATCAATCAGTTATATGGCAGCTATAGGATATAGTCGGCCGATCCCGCCGTTCCGACATATATACTGCGTGCAAAGGAAAGAAGGGTGTGTGCAAAGTTTGAACTCGATAGCTTTAAAACTGAGAGACTAGTTTGCGTAGAAACAGACAGACGGACAGACAGACGGACAGACGGACAGACGGACAGACGGACGGACGGACAGACGAACAGACGGACAGACGGACATGGCTATATCAACTCAGGAAATAATCCTGATCAAGAATATATATACTTTATATGGTCGGAGATGTCTCCTTCACTGCGTTGCACACTTTTGACCAAAATTATAATACCCTCTGCAAGGGTATAAAACTTTCCCCAATAATTAGATAACTAATAAATGAAACAATGTATATTTATATTTTAAATATATATGTATATTTAACTATTAAATAAAGACTAGTGTGTATTTGTAGTATTTTCATTGAACTTATTTATTGTAATATATCAAAATTGTTTATTTATGTTGGAATTCCAATTCGTTATTGGATGTTCCTTAGCCCATATTAATGTCAAATAAATATTTATATATTATTAAATTATTTATTATTTAAAAAAAAATATAAATGTTTTGCAATCCAATAAATTATAGAATAATACAATTATAAGTTTTAAGTTAAGTGAATTTGAGAATATGTTTATTGATCCACATTTATTTATTCGTTCCTAAAATCTGCAAAATTTTAATTTGTTTTTGTAATGTTAGGAGGTTAATAAACCATATCCCAAAGTATTTATGATTGCAACATTTTGTTCCTTTTTATCAGATTTTGATGGCAAACATTTCACACACCCACACAAATAAATAAGGGATTTTATGACTAGCAGCACCGTTAGGCGCCACCTGTGGCAGCCTTATCCCGTTGCAAGGATAACGATGAGGGCCAGGATAAAGATCTTTTTGCTGGGCACACTTTCACTCTCCTGGCTAGACGAATTTCCCCGGAATTTACCTGTTACACACGTGCAAAACACTCAAAGGTTCCCTGGAAAAATTGTAAACAATATTGTTTTGGGCCTCGATCGTAATCGATCTCTTGGGTGCTGCCTTGTTTTGGCTCATAACTCAATTAGCCGGAAAATCTCCAAGGACTACGTGTGGTGTTAAGAAGTGAGGATCTTTATTAGCCAAGTACTATCTGTTGTGGCCACACTACAAGACAACTGGGAGATGACTTCCGTTTTCCGTGGAAGCGATACGAAAGGTGTGGAAAACGTTCTTCCTGTTGGGACTTTATCGAGAACAAGTGTTAAGGATGCGCGTGACCGGGACACGGAAATTGAGTCACGTAGTGTTAGCGGGTTCAGAATTATACGTGGATTAGAAACGTGTGATGATGAGTTATTTTTACAGTTAGAGTTTACAGAAGGGTTTGGATTTCTATTTTAGTGTCAGCATGATTAATTTAATATTGATTTCAATCATCTATTTCACATTTTTATACCTACCTTGCTTATATAAGTGTTTTTGGACCTATAAAACTTAATCAGTGTTTCAATCTAAGAGACATTAATAATTTTTTTGGAAAGTTTAACAGACCCCATATAAAGAAGCTCTTATTTAAAAAATTTCAAGTCATAAAACTTTAACCGTCTAATAAACATAAACTTACCAAAAACAATATATAGAAGAAGCTCCAAAATTACGAAATCAAAACCATAAGAATGTAAAATT